CCGAGCCCCCTCCAGTATATGCAAATGAAAGCTTACAATTGGAAGAAAACTTCACGTACTGCCTGTTCCAACCTTAGACTCGCAGGATACTGAACGAAACTGTTAAACCTGGATCTCTGTGTCACATCAATGCCAACCATCATCGCATAGTCGTCTTCTTGCGAAGCCATCTCTTTGTGTTGTCGTCGAGCTGGACAAGAAAGAGTCAACGTCATCGACAGAGATATAGTATCGATCTTTTACCCTGTGAGTTATTCCTCCCAGCTTGCTCCAGGTATAACGCGCTACATTCGATCTTGCGTGTTTGGCTCCTTATCCACGATTTTCGAGGTAAGAGTTTGGATGCCTGATTCGACGTCGCCGATGTGCTAAACACCTCCAGATACTTCGTCAGGAATGGGGAAAGAATGACTGCTTGAAACATTCACGCTTATTTTGATTCCAGGATAGATGAAGCTACTTATCGCGTTGAGAAAGAAGCACAAGAACAGAAACATAATATCCCTAGGATGTTTCTGCAGCGCACCACGTATCTTATTCAGAAACCGAATTCGGCGCTAACAGGAATGGTATAGGATTGAGAGTTACGGTCAGCAGATCTAGAGAAGGACGACTGCGCAAGACAGACATTCCGCTCTTCCGCATCTTCTAGACTTCTTCGCAAAACCCTTCCACGTCGACGAGCCCAGACAATCGAAGGGGTCATCCACCAGAAAAAACTTGTACAGCATCCCGCACCACTAATTCCAACTATCTTTGATTCATTACGCGTGGATTGACCTTGAAGGTTGAAGGTTGCAGGTTTGAACATTGACATCTAGTGCATTGTCGTTGTGAGTAGCACAATGACGTGTACAGTGACAAGCAATCTCAACACCACAACAACACTTCGCATTCTTACGCCCATCATCGTTCCTGTCCTGGTCAGACGGTCTCCCTTTTCCGTTCATTTCCGTCACCGATGAGTAGAGATCCCTTGAGATGGAGGAAGTCGAAGAAAACACCTAGATGAGCGAGTTTTTAAGCCCGGGTTCAGACGTACAGAGGTTGGATAAGGAAGAGAGAAGAAGCACGATGTGTTCTGGGAACGTGTGTATTGACATCTACCGCGAATGCACTGTCGTTGGTAACTCGATAACAGTGCCCGGTGATGAAGAAGCCAGGAAATATCTAGATGGGCGCGCAGATTTCAGTGGCCAGGAGATGTTAGAGAGATGCCAGCCATGTCAGGGCATCGTTAGTTATGGTGTTTGGAGAAAAGGATGTGCCGTAGTGTTGAAGGACGTGAAAGATGAATTTATACGTGAACAAGTATCTGTATTCTCTTCGTGAAAGACAGCTGGCTAGGCTACGAGAGGAATGGGAAGGTCGTTTGGTACCTTTTTCCGGGATACTATGACTGAGCTGAGGTGTGTCCAGTGGTGTGATGGAAGAAAAGTGTTTACGTTACAAAAGAAGTACAATGGATTCTTGCAATTCGGCATACACCGTTCGGGAATCGAACCCGAGCCGCTTGCTTGAAGCAAATTGATAGCTTCGAGGACATGGAAGGCAAGCATGATAACCACTTCACCAACGGTGTCTTCAAAATGTGCATAAATAGCAAATATATCATCAGTACACTGTTCGTTACACAACTACGCAACTTTCACGACGAAGTCCTTTCCCACCTGGACGAACAGATGCTCGTCAATGCCCAGGTTACCCTCCATCTGTGGCAATCGCCATATCCCATCGGTCCCCACCGTCGGAAATCTACCTGCATCGAAATTCGTGCCTTTGAGGAACAGCGTAAGGAGCACGCTGAGCTTCATCTCGATGACTGTTTCACCATTAGCCTTTGCCTGTTCTGATGAGGAACCCGGACCAGCGACATTACGAAAGTAGGGCAGCCAGGTGGAGTTGTCGTTAGGCAAAGGTGAAAGTGCATGGATCGACTCGAGCCAAGTGGTAGCCGGCATGCCATCCTCGTCATCATCATCGTCCGAGTTCCACACGTTATTATGGATCACGGATCGAGCCTGCAAATTGGCTTCCCACTTCGAAGGTGTGTACGAAGGAATGTGGGGATGAAGAGTGTGCTGTTTGTGGTTGTAGACGCCGCTGAAAACCTCCTTGTCTCTCATCCGGCAAGTGAATAGCGTCGCGTCGGCGTTGTTTATCTCTGCAAAACGGTCAGTGAAATGAAAACTCGTCGACATCGTGAAGGACGCACCTTCTGGTGTCATCTGTGGCGCTGGCCCAAGTATCTTGTCTTCAAACTTCACCGATGAGAGTACAGGCTTTATAGATGATAGTGGTACGAAGGCAAGGCACTGTACATACCAAAAGGTCTGTGTACGCAACCGCCTCACCGAGTCATCAATTGACGTAAAATGAACATTGAACACGGACGTCGGCCATACTATATCGGGCGCTTACTGTCTCTTTTCTCTCCATGCTGGCCCGCCACTGCGCTCATAGAAGTAACAGTATTTTGGCCCGATCAATCAAGCTTTCAAGATAAAACACGATTGAACAGCGCAAACGCAAAGCTTATACTTGCCATACCTACGAGTCGGGCCTCTTCGCTGTAGAGTTTCTCTCTTGAACGTTTGAACGTCATTGCCAAATACGTTCGCGTGCAACTCACTAAATCAAAAAAAGCTGTCCGAGCCACACTTGGACTTGCTTATACCTAGTCTAACCCCGGTAAGCCTACACACAAACGATGCTAAAGCTGCCAGCTTCTGAATCCATGCACAGGACTGGACGCAACTTGCAAGCACGACGACCATAAGTAACTTCAATAAGTATATGGCATGGGTCTTCGATCTGACAGAAAACATAGCCCATAATTAAACTCAACTGATAGACGATGCGTTTTGGTTTCCTCACTCTCCATGAATAGTTTCCCTTCTTGAGTTTACTAGTGTCCATGCAACGTCGGGTTTCGCAAGTTGAAGTAATTTATCCAACGCTGTTACCATATCCGGGAAGACCATCGGTCAACCCCAAACCCGCCCTAAACCCTAAAACTTCAGTGACATGCGCTGCTCAGGCTGGCCCTCTCACACTCGGGCTAGCCGCCGCCTAGGGAGTATAAAGGCAGGTAGGATTTCCTTCACTTTTCTTCACCAAGTGCAGGTTCACTCAGTCAGATCACAGCTTCTCTCATAACTACTCTGCGAGTATAATTCCTTTTTCTTACGACTTTCTCAATCTATCACCCAACGACTATCACTATCCTATCACTCTCAATCATGCGTTTCTCAACCCTTATTGCCGCCACCGCCATTGTTTTCACTGCTTGCTCGAGCGCAGCGTACATTCCTGCGAGAGAAGCACGGTCACTCAGCGACAACGGTAAAAAATTTCCTGTCTATCAATGTATTCCAACATAGGAATCTGAACTTAATTTTACAGGATGTTCAGGCGAGAACGTGGATGTCCACATAGACATCCCTGGAGGCCACTCCGATAATCCCATTCACACTTTGTCTCGCCGAGCGTGAGTTTGTCATTCTTTTTTCTTGAACTCGTTTACTTACAACTTGATCTCTTATCGATTTACACAGACAATCCGTCGTATGCGGGACTTCCTACCCCCAATGCATCGGGCACTACAAATGCAGTAAAAACGGCAAAATAAGCGAGCTGAAAGACGCGAACCCGCCGCCAGAGTGTGCTGGGAGATGTTGGTGTGCGGAGCCTCCGGCACCCAAAAAGTCGAAGCCTATTGTGAAGGGAGGACAGGATCCGTCGTATGCTCACGGGGTTTAATGGATGGTAGAGGAAGTGGGTTAGAAAAAATGTATAGTAGAGTCGTTTTTGAGAGCTGTGTTGCTGTGTACGTAGGAATACATGGCTTAAAGCATCTACTTTGCTGCATCTTTTGAGGTTTCCATTTTGAATTTTCGGCCATCTGGCTTCAAGAAGACTCAGCTCGATAAAAACGAGAGACGAGCCTATGCGTAGGTCCTAGATCGGAGGAACTTGCTAAGGCTGAAAATAGTCTGACCCCAAAACACAGATACTTTTTATAAATTATCAAGTCTGAATATAATACATGTAAGTTATTGGGTCCCTGTTAGTACATCCCAGCGCACACACGAAGTTCTGAATATCTAGTTCACATTAGTATCTGTAAGTACTTGACTCGATCAATGCAAATTATTTCCTGGACAAGTTACTTACTGTTTTCCCAGAGGTAGTGAGCGAGAACTGGCACCTTTGTGCTAGTAAGTACACCCACGACTCGGACGCGCTCCCTTGTTCCATATATGCGCACTTTCTCTCCTGGAATCATTCATACAAACTGTTTGACGGGCCTTGCCTTACTTAGCTAGCCCGGATGGCTACAATAGGCGACTAATGGCTGCCATCATAGCATATCATAGCAGGTCGATCTCTTCCTCAGTGAAACTCGTAAAATTAATTGATCGACGACAGCACTTTGATTCCCTTAGTCTTGCACAGATAAATTCCCTTCTTGATTGTACTTAGTCTGAGTGTCAACGTCGGGTTTCGCAAATTGAAGCAATCTATCCGACGCCGTTACTATATCTGGGAAGACCATCGGTCAAATGTAAACCCTAAAAAATTTTATTACATGCGCTGCTGCAGTGGCGCTCTCACACCTTCTCACACCCGGGCCATCTGGAGAGTATAAAAGCAGATAGGATTGCGTTCACTTTTCCTCACCAAGTGCAGGTTCACTCAGTCAAATCACAGCTTCTCTCAAACTACTCTGCGAGTAAAACTTCTTACAACTTTCACTGTCTATCCGAGTCACCCAACTATCATCATCAATATGCGTTTCTCTACCCTCATTGCCGCCACCGCCATTGTCTTCGCTGCTTGTTCAAGCGCAGCCTACATTCCTGCAAGAGAATCACGGTCGCTCGATAACGGTAAGGCTTTCCTCTATCATCTATTCCAACATAGGAATCTAATGATAATCCCAACAGGTTGTCCAGGCGAGAACGTGGACGTGCACATAGACATCCCCGGCGGCCACTCTGATAATCCCATACACACTTTGTCTCGCCGAGCGTGAGTTTATCATACTCCACACTCTTTTTTCTTGTTAAATCTCATTTGCTTACACTTGGTCTTTTCTAGACAATCCGTCGTATGCGGAACTTCCTACCCTCAATGCGTCGGGCACTACAAATGCAGTAAAAACGGCAAAATAAGCGAGCTGAAAGATGCGAACCCGCCCCCGGAGTGTGCTGGGAGATGTTGGTGTGCGGAGCCTCCGGCACCCAAGGTGTCGAAGCCTATTGTGAAGGGGGGTCAGGATCCGTCGTACGCTCATGGGGTCTAACGGATAGAGTAATAGATAGATAGATGGGGGAGATGTGGTGGAAAAATATCTAGTAGAGTTGTTAGGGAGAGAGCTGTGTTGCTGTGTACGTAGGAATACACGGCTTAAAGCATTTACTTGGCTGCATTTTTGGAGGTTTCCAGTGAATTTCCGACGGTTTGCCTTTAAGAAAACTCACGCTGAATAGAGACGCGCCTATGGGTGTAGGAGGAACTTCACTGAGGCTAAAATAGTTTGATCTCACACAATCTACCTCCTTGTAGCAGGCCTTCTTGACGCTCCCTGCGATGAAAGACATGTATACAGTTCTGAGCCCGCTATGTGCTCCTCCAAGGTACTCCTGTCACCTTATGCGGTAGATACAGAATGATCGAGCCAGGCGTCTGAATATACTACATATATGTATGGAGCATCTATTAGTACATCCCAGTATTCACGCGAAGTTTTTGAACTTCTAGCTCACATTAGTATCTGTAGGACTCGATCGGTGCAATTTATTATGCCTGGCAAGTTCCTTTCTGCTTTTCCCAGGGTCAGTGAGAGAAACAAGTAAGCACATCCACGACGCATTCCCTAGTTCCGTATATGCGCACTTTCTCTCCTGGAATCATTCATACAAACCATTTGACAGGCCTTACCTTACTTAGCTAGCCCGGAGGGCTACAATAGGCTACAAATGGCGGCCATCATAGCATAGCATATCATTGCAGGTCGATCTCTGCCTCAGTGAAACCCGTAAAATTATTTGATCGACGACAGCACTTTGGTTTACTTAGTTTTCCATGAATAAATTCCCTTCTTGAATGTGATGTCAACGTCGTATTTCGCAAGTTGAACCATTCTATCCGACGCTGTTACCATATCCGGGAAGACCATCGGTCAATTGTAAAACTTGAAATTCTGTTACTTACATACGCTGCTGGAGCTCTCACACCCGGGCGTGGGGAGTATAAAAGCAGGTAGGATTGTGGTTCACTTTTCTTCACCAAGTGCAGGTTCACTCAGTCAAATCACACAGCTTCTGTCAAACTACTCTGCGAGTAAAACTTACAACTTTCACTATCTATCACCCAACTCTCATCATCAATATGCGTTTCTCTACTCTTATTGCGGCCACCGCCATCATTTTTCACCGCTTGCTCAAGCGCAGCCTACATTCCTGCAAGAGAATCACGGTCGCTCGACAACGGTAAAGCCTTCCTGTCCATCAATCTATTCCAAACCAAGGCATCTAACGATAATCTCCAAACAGGGTGTCCAGGCGAGAATGCCGT